TTATTGCAATTATCAACCATTTGAACGCGAATGATTGAATCAGAATGAATTCCGTTCACGGATGATGTTTTGTTGTATGATTAATGAAAAGCTTAGCATTGAACGATTCTTGTTGCGTACATTCATGAGTGGAATATTTAGTGAGGAGAATGTATCTGGAGATGGTTCAACTCTGAGTGCAACGTCGGGCACTGATTCGCCGACTGCCGATGATACTGGCTACTGGGGATTGACTTCGTCAGCAACGCGCTCAATGGCAGAATTTGCCAGCTTGTCTCAACTGTCACCTCATGTGCGTACACATCCAGTGATCGTTACACCGACTTCGATACACTCTTACCCGCCCGAACATCATGTGGCGAGGGTTACGTCGGAAATTCGCTTTTTTCAACCTGATGAGGTAAAAACCAAAAACAGTTTTTTTTTTGAAGACAACTTGGATTTAAGTGATAAATTCATTTGATCATTCATCTTGGATAGCCGATTTCTTAGGTTTACTTGTTTGCATTGAAGTCGCCTATTCAAAAGACAATCCTTGATGCAAAGTTTCATCACTTCTAAAGTTGTACACTGCACATCGACAAGAGCTGTAGACCGTAACAAAATTGAAGAAGATTTTTGAATAAGATCTGCTGTTGACATTTGAATGATCGCAGATAATCAAAGAATCGAGCAACGTTTAACTTTTCAGAACAACGATGAATCTATTGAAGACATTGATAACGATGATCAGACATTAGTGGAACAGCCTGTTAGAAGTTCTGTGAAGTCTATAGTGGCTAAGTGGCCTCCAAGAGGACCGAAAGAAAGTTTTGCATAAAGCATTCGTCTAGATAATGATTTCGAATGAGATTTTTTTCATTGATTCAGTGTTCGAATGAACATTTTGTAAAGTATCATAAAAAATTGTTAACTCAATGCTTTTCGTATCATTACACGTTCACAGATTATAATGAATCGTGGGTTTTAACAGGGTTTTCATTCTTTTCCTTGCTGCTATAATCACTCTCA